CCTGGAGAAAGAAATGGCAACCCACTCCAGTACTCTTGCCTGGAAAATCCCATGGACGGAGGAGCCTGGTAGGCTACAGTCCATGGGGTCGCAAAGAGTCGGACACAACTGAGCAACTTCACTAACTACCTAACCTATTCTGCCTATCAGTGGACAAAGAGCTTCCTTTTTTAAAAATTGAATTATAGTTGATTTACAATGTTGTGTTAGTTTCAGGTGTATAGCAGGGTGATTCAGTTACACATATATGTATACATCTATTTTTCAGATTCTTTTCCATTGTAGGTTATTACTAGATACTGAATATAGTTCCCTGTGTGATATAGTAGGTCCTTGTTGTTCATCAGTTTTATACATAGTAGTTTGTATTTATTAATCCAAAGTCCTAATTTATCTCATCCTCCCCTCCCTTTCCCCTTTGGTAACCATAAATTTGTTTTCTATGTCTCTGAGTCTATTTCTAAACAGCTTCCTTTTACGGTTGTATCCTTGAAATCACACTTATCTGACCAACATCCTGTTGGACAGAATTTAGTCCAAAGGTCACACCGAACTCCAAGGGTGGTTGAGAAATGTAGTGTAAGTAGGCAGCCCTGGGTCTGGTTAAACCATGGAGAGTTCTATTACCAAAAGAAAGAAGTGGGGTAACGAACAGCACTTTGTAGCCTGCACCCTATATCAGGATCCTCTGTTCTTGCCAGGTTCTACTTTCCGTTTCCCTTCACTTCATCTTGCCCCCTGGTGCTTTGGCTAGTTACCAAAGCCCTGAGCCAGCCTTTACCTGGAATTGTAGTTTCTAATATAGGAGAAGATAAGGAACTATTTCCTAAACGGACCATATTAGATACCTCATCATCAGTTATCTCCTGGTCGCCATAATGATTTTCGTGATCTTCATATTGAACTCACATGTGAGCTGTAAATGTTTCTAGCTGGTCTCTGGTAACAGGGTTTCCTCACACTTACTGGCCCACCCATGTCCTGTGTGACCCACCCAGCCCATGGTCTAGCACCTTGCCTTACCTCCCACATCCAGCATCCTAGATCCTATCCGCCCGCCCCTGCTATTGAATCTTCTAGTCTGTCCCTACTGATCTGGTCACTACTCCCAGTAACTTTGGCTCCTGCCCTTCCCCTGACCCCCCTCTTGATGTCAGAATTCAGCCGAGCTTTCTCTGTGTGGGCCCCTCATACATCAACAGACCTCCAAGTGCTGGGTGGATGATTTGGGAAAGTATTAGAAAAAATTATAATAGAGGCAAAGGAAGTTGATACATACTGATGCCTGTAAGCATTTTATAGGAAGAATTAAAATGTATCTTCTTCTAATCATATTTTTAGTTGACTATCACCTATGGGTGCTTTACATACTCTTAATTCTTTTTTGGCTACTTACATCGAATTATCTTTCTTAGATAGGAGGCTGAGCCATGCCTTTTATCAGGAAAGTTGATGAAGCATTGCTTAGGCAGAATCCATGGATCTAAAATCAAGAGTGAAAATATATGTGATGCTCCTCACAATTATGCCTAAATGACTCTAAGGTGAAATTTTACTTTCTGTACCCATGACATTAGCCTCTTGTCTCTAATGAAGTGTGTTTTCACTTAATGACATAATAGTTGTTCTACTGAATTGGAATGCATACCAGTTTCCAGTTTTTCAGGCTCCTCATGCTAAATGATAAACAGGTTGCAAAAAATGGGGTGGGGGTGAGGGTGGATTATAATAATTTCAATTGGATCTTGATTTTTAAAGGGAAATAGAGCTGTTGGGACACAGTGGCTAGAATCTGGACAGTCTAGTCTTGCCCTGTCCCAGAGAAAAACATAAGAGCATTCTCCCCTATTCATGCAGGACCTTCCAAGACTCAGAATCCTCAGGAAAGAAGGTTTGGGTGATCCTACCTGGCAAAGGGATGTTTGCTGAAGACAGAATATAAAGAAAAATCAGAAATCCCCACTACAACTTCTTGAGTAGTTATAAAAATGAAGACTGTGACCTCCATCTGTGTTTCTCAATATGTGATGTTTTATAGGTACTTGTATTTTGTATAATAAAATACAAAATACATTTAACTTTTTAATCTATTGCCCCACGCCTGCTATTCTGTACTTAGCATATGTTGGTGGTGAAATTTGTTATTTTGATTATGAGTTCAGTACATCAAGATAGACTTACAACAGGAGTGGAAAAGAAATGGAGTTCAGCTGGAGACCCAGCTTGAGAGCTGGAGGCATTGAATGTGTGATGCGGGACCTTGGGTTGGTTCCTCTGAAGACATGGGACGTACTTTCAGATGGCTGAGCGAATGCAACATTGTGTTTGGTGGACATGCTTGTCTTTTAGAAGATGGGATAAACAATGTATTATGGTGTTAGAAAGCCAAAGAGGTAAGCTAGAATGGAAACTTGTGATTCTTCGTCGCCTGGCAGCAAAACTCTTCTTACTCTGGAAGAGTTCAAAGATAGATGGAGGCCAAATTCCTTTTCTACTACCAAAGCCCAAGGGGGCAGACATTTTTCTCTTCTCACTCCCTGGCAGCCAGGGCACATGAAAAGGCTCAGCCAACTGGACACTTCCACCAGGGATGCTGAGTCATGAGAAAGTGACTCAAGGTGCAGAGACAGTTGGAAATGAACAGGATGGTGGAGAGTGTCTATCAGGGCCAGCCTGAGCATCCTTACTTTAGTGTCACCTGAGGTGTGATCTTGAACATACGTCCAGATGCATAACTGTCCTTGGGTACATTTTCTCCAGCTGTTTCTTTATTTTTTTTGCCTGTATCTTTTTGGTAAAATTCCCTTTCTGCGTGATAAACTATCGTTGGTTTTCAGGATTTGCAATCAAGGCAACTCACACTGGAAAATATCATAGCATTTGGATTTCTTTTGCTGTTAATTATTGAATTTCTTTCATTTTACCATAAGTAGTGCTTTGGTGGATTATCCACAAAACTCCCCCTCCCACCCCTGTGTTTAAGATTTTTTTCTTAATGTACAAGTTTCACTGGTCTTAGGTTAGATCTTGCTATGCACTGTCAAATTACTTTGCAATGTATAAGAGATACTGTATTCATTGAATCTTTGTCTTGGTCACATCTTGTACAATGGATACTGCAAGTAATAGAAGTGAAGATGATTTATCCGACATTACTGAGGAATGAGATTTTCCACCAATGTACATTTAAAAAAAAGATAACCAAAGCTTATTATTTTCAACACCAAAGTTTTGAAAGCATAACCACTTTTTAATCACAATCTGTCCAAAGTCCATCACATAATTCCTAACCTCATCAAGCTGCAATCCCTGGAGGACCACAGAAATGATGGGTTTATCTTTGCCTTTGCACTCACACTTGGTGACCCAGATCACAGTGCTTTAATCATGACTGGGGAATTTTCAGTCTCTCCAGAACTCAACAGCCTCCTCAGTAAGAGGATAGAAACTCTTCTCTCTTTACTCCTTTCTTTGCTCCGTGGCCTATTACTTGTACAGTCTGCCCACGGAAAAGGTAGAGCAACTGATGTGGTTACTGCAAACAGATCACCATGCTTGCAAAATTAAGTCTAGCATTTGTACCAAGTTGAAAGTCAGTATCCCAGTGGGAAAGTTGGAGCATGTTCCACTCTCTATATGGGACAGAGATATTTTGTGATAGCTGTGTTCTTTGACTCTGGCTCATTCTGTGTGCCGTTGGTGGAAATTTCCAAAAGTCCAAGTGCTAAATGTGTGAAGGATTATAATCATATATTTCAAGAGAGATTTCTGCGATGGTTGTTTCTGTAGAAAAGTTTCATCCCATTCTTCAGAATCACCAGGGAAACTGTGATTTTCCTTGGTAACCTACATCTAAAGAAATTTCATATTTATGTGTAATCATAAAGCCCCTTTGTTGAATTTTTAAATCCATCTGTTAAGAGTCAGCCCTTAATGGAAATGGTTCCAGCTGATTTTTCTCTTTCATACTGATGTATATTATTTCTTATTCACAAATGTGGGGCCAAATTCCCTTAAAATAATCCCTCTGAAGGAGAGCTTTCACAATGTGCTGTATTATATAACATACATGCAAAACAGGTTAATATGAAATAACAGATCCATTTTGAAATGAAATAATCTGAAACTAAACATGATCACTAGTCTTTTAAAAATAAGCAGATTTTTACAGCAAACGTGCTAGCAGACGACTTATGAAAAGTAGCTCAATATTTATCTTCCTTCCTCAATATTCCAACACTAGAATATTGTTCTAGTGTCATTTGGGGAAAACAGAATCCTTTGGTTGAGAGAATGACTACATAGGAAAGTGGGTGTAAAAACAAGTTACATTTTGAATTGTATGCATTTTATTCAGAATGGAATAAGAGTTTTACAGACAAAGCATATCCAAATAAAATATAGGACAATCTAGTATATGCCATCCATATTTATGCCATTCTAGTATTAGAGATATTGGTTTGGTTAAATTTATTTTTATCTTATTGTGTTAACATTTAATATGAGATTTACACTCATTGCTTTTTAAGTGTATAATATGTTATCACTGACTATATGTATAATATGCAGTAGACCTTTACAACGTACTCATCTTGCTTAATTGAAACATTTTGCCTGTTGATTAGAACTCCGCATTCCCCCAACCCCAAATGCTGGCAACTTATTTAACACTTAGGCCACTGGATTGAAATGAGTATAAATACCTACTTATTTATAGATTTACACTTGTAACATGCAAGTCATTATTTTTAAGCTATGAAAGGAAAGGAAGGCGAAAACAAAGTTTCCTGAAGCTAGAGATGATCTCTTTTCTATTCCATTTCTATCCCGTACGAAGTGGCATTTCCTTGGCCAGACTTCACTCCCCAGCCACGCTGGGCTAGGAGAGGACTCAAAGGAGGAGGAAGAAAAGGCTGGCCATTTGTGCTTCTCAGCTTCAGCGCAGCTCTTCAGGTTTGCTCATCAAAAGCCAGAAATGAAGGCACACATGACTTTGCATTTTAACCCCACCGACTGCAGCAGGGAGCACAGTTATTTCCTTGGTCGACAATTTCATCTTTAATGGCAATGACTTGATCTTCCAACTGTTTCAGCTGATCAGCTTTTTCTTGTTTACTAAGATTCAAAGCTTGGATCTTCTTTTCTAAATCTTAAAGAAGAAAATGGAGGAAATGTTTAATTAGGTCCCATTTGTTTTTGCTTTTATTTTCATTACTCTAGAAGGTGGATCATAAAAGATCTTGCTGCAATTTATGTCAGAGAGTGTTCTGCCTATGTTTTCTTCTAAGAATTTTTATAGTATCCAGTCTTATGTTTTGGTCTTTAATCCATTCTGAGTTTCTTTTTGTGTATAGTGTTGGAGAATGTTCTAATTTCATTCTTTTACATGTAGCTGTCCAGTTTTCCCAGCACCACTTATTGAAGAGATTTTTTTTCCCCCCATTGTATATTCTTGCCTCCTTTGTCATAGATTAGGTGACCCTAGGTGCATGGGTTTATTTGGTCTTTCCATTCTGTTCCATTGGTCTATATTCTGTTTTTGTGCCAGTACCACATTGTTTTGATTATTGCAGCTTTGTAGTATAGTCTGACCTCAGGACACCTGATTCCTCCAGCTCCATTTTTCTTTCTCAAGATTACTTTGGCTGTTTGGGGTCTTTTGTGCTTCCATTCAAATTAAATATAGAGCTACTATTTGATTCAGCAATCCCACTCTTGGGCATATATTTGTAAGAAACCAAAATCTGAAAAAAATTCATGCATCCCAGTGTTCACTGTAGCACTATTTACAATAGCCAGGACATGAAAGCAACCTAAAAGTCTATCAACAGATGAATGGATAAAGAAGATGTGGTTCATTTATACAAGGGAGTGTTGTTGTTGTTTAATCACTAAGCGTTATCTAACTTTTGTGACCCCATGGACTGTAGCCCACCAGGCTCCTCTGTCCATATTATTTTCCAGGCAAGAATATTGGAGTGGGTTGCCATTTCCTTCTCCAGGGGATCTTCCTCAGCCAGGGATCAAAACCATGTCTCCTGCATTGGCATTTGTGTGTGCCAAGTTGCTTCAGTCATGTCTGACTCTGTGCAACTCTATGAACTGTAGCCTGCCATGCTCCTCTGTCCATGGGACTCTCCAGGCATGAATATGGCAGTGGGTTGCCATGCCCTCCTCCAGGAGATATTCCCAACCCAGGGATCGGACCCGCATCTCTTCTGTCTCCTGCATTAACAGGCAGATTCTTTATCACTGAGCCCCCAGGCACGCCCACAAGGGGATGTTACTTAGCCATAAAGAAGAACAAAATAATGCCATTTGCAGAAACATGGATGAACCTAGAGACTGTCACAGTGAATGGAGTAAGTCATAAAAAGACAGATATCATGATACCCCTTACATGTGGAATCACAAAATAGAAGCAGTCACAGACGTAGAAAACAAACATGGCTACCAAGGATGAAAGTGGGGGAAGGAAAACTGGGAGACTGGGATTGATGTAAATGCACTGCTATATATAAAATGGAAAACTAATAAGAACCTCCTGTATAGCACAGGGAACTCTACTCAATACTCTGTAACGACCTATTTGGGAGACGAATCTGCATGTTGATGTATAACTGATTCACTTGTCTCTACTGCAGAAACACAACATTGTAAATCAACTATATGCCAATAAAAATTAATTGAAAAAGAAAATGGATTAAATGATACCTTTCTATTTGATAGATTACTCCTAGATACCCCCATCATACAAAACACGGGGATTTATATTTCAGTTAAGGGCATATTTAGTTTTGTGGTTTGAGACATAAATCATTTATTTTCACCAGATTTCTCAAGGTTTTCACTCAAATCAGCAGATAAATTGGTATTTTTGTCTAAAGAGAAATAGATTTCATTAGAAATGAAGAGAGATACGGTGACTTACTGTTTTTCCCAAGGTTTATTCTTGCTATTTTAACTTCACTTTTTAAACAAGCTTCCCAATTTTTCAGTAAAAAAAGCCTGAAGATATTTTTAAAAACACGTACATTTCTTCATTCCTCTCTGATACTGAAGTCTCTGAACAGTAAAAGCAAAGTAGTGCCTTTTACTCTTATCCATCCTTTCATCTTATCTATGATTGCATAAATCCATCCACACACCCATCCATGAATTCATCCATGCATGCATCCATCCAAGCATTTACTTATCTGTTCTTTATCCAACAAATACTTGGGAATTATAGTAAACCCTAATCAGGAGCTCATACAGTAGTGGATGAAAGAGGTAGAGAGAGCTACAGTTAACAGTGTGAGGTGGCCTTTAGAAAAGACACCGACCTTCTTTAGTGGAACTTCTAAAAGAAAGAAGTAAGTGTTTCACTTCACTTGGTTGTATCACAGGTGGATACTCAGGTTGTATCACATGTGGTTTGGGGTTACTGTCAAACTAGCATGTAGCATGTGTTTAGAATAACAAGCTAGACTGCTGGAGAAATATGAAACTGTCTTGTGAACAAAAGTTGAATTAACTGGCTATGCTTCAAACAGAGAAAGAAGATTCAGGATATGTACTATAGCTATTTTCAAGTACTTGTGGGCAGAAAAACAGAGTGTACACGTTTGGTCATCCTGAGGACATAGCATAAAACCAGTACATGAAAGCTCCATGAAGGGATTTTGTCTGAATATAAAGAACTTTCCCTGGCGGTCCAGTGATTAAGACTCTATACTCTCAACACAGGGAACATGGGTCTGATCCCTGGTTAGGATCAAACATGTTGCAAGGCACAACCAAAAAACAAATGAACAACTTTCTAGTAGTCACAGCAGTTCAAAGACTAAGAAGCTGCTATGGTAGGTGATGAGCATTCTATCAATCACTAGAAACTTTCACATACAGGCCATTTGGGATTGAAGAGGGGTTTTAGCATTAGAAGACTATTTGTTCTAAGAGAAAAATATTAATAGATCCTGGTGTTTCTACCAAGTAATTTAATAAAAGCATGCTGGATACTCTTCATTTGCCCCACCAGATCCATTTCCCATCCTGCCTGTCCTGGAAAGCCAGCCTCCCTGGATGACATCACCTGGCTCCCTTGACCTCTGGCTTTCATTCACACTTGGCTGCCAGGCGGTTCTGAGAAGTGATGGGTGCGGGGGATGGGAGTGAGCAGATTGCATCCCTGGGGAGCAGCAGAGTTCTGGCAGTTCTGCCATCTTTTGAGTCCAGCTCCTGCAAGGCGGCCTCCTCCCTTCTGCCCCGGTGTTCCCAGGGCTGCTTTCCAGCACTCACACTCCTGCTTCTCGTGGTCCCTTCAGGGATGCTAATGGCTTCTCTGCTGGTCACCCAGGACCTCCATGCCCTTGTTGCTGCCCTTAATTCCTACGCTTTAACTCTAGTGCCTTCCAACAAGAAATATAGCCTATTTACCTTCTCCCTTCAAACCAGATCTAGCTTTCTTTGCCAGATGTTTGGACCAATAGAAAGTGGAAGAAATGATGTTATTGGACCTCAAGAGACTTGTGCCTTCGATTCACTCTAATGGAACCCTGTAAACACCAGGCTGTCAAGCAACCTGAGCCGAAAGACCTGGTGGAGAGAGGCACAGCCAATCCTGGGCCCTGGCAGACCTACCAGTTGACCCATCAGCCAATGCAGCTGCTTGAGTAACACCACAGGAGAGACCCACAGAAAAACAGTGCATGCTTGTTATTCTAAGATGTTAAATTTGGGGAACAGTGTTTGTGATGCGATGAATAGATAACTGAGACAACTCTGCTTATAAACACATGATCCAGAATTGCATCCAAGTGTGTTTTCATTTCTTGCTAGGATCCTGACTGACACAAAGCTCTGCGGAGGGATCTTGGCTGTAGACTGGGGCCCACTCTTCACTCTCTTCACTTTGACCTTGTCAAGTTAAGTCAGGGCTCCTTTCCCGAATCCCATGGGCCTCTCTTCCTAACAGATGGAATAGAATACAACCTTTGTGGTTCAGCCTGTTCCCAAGTGGCAGAGTTGGGAAGATGGCCAAACCACCATCTTATTTTCCTATCATGTTGAGTTGTGAGCACAGCTTTAAAGTGAGAAGAAAGAAAGAAGTAGAAGGCATTATTTTTGGTCTCTCTGAGTAGATGTCCTCTGACTTAAACTTATCTTCCAACTTAATTTCAAGAACTGTGACAGTTTTAGTTTATGTGGGAAAGTGGAAACAATGTGGACCCTGACATAAAATATAAGACAGAAAGGATTCTCCCTGTGTTTTTGTTCCCATAACAGGGACCAAGGTCTGGGAATAATAGAAACTGATTCTTCATGGTATCACCCTTGGAGTTCAAGGTAAAGAAACATTTATCCTTTTGAATCTTAGTATTTATTTTTAAAATTATTAGGAAAATACTGAAAATGGAAAGAAGCTCACTACTTTAAAACAATTCTACAAATGTAAAAAGTAGTGTTTTCCTCTTCACCCGCCCCTTCCCCAGAGATATCCAACAGTAAGAGTTTGGTGTTATTTTTCCTGACTTTGGCCCACACTGATGTTGCATTTTCATTTTTTTGCATGTCATAGCACGTATATAAATGGTTATAGGGCCAAAGACTCATTTTATAATCAGTTCAGTTCAGTTGCTCAGTTGTGTCCGACTCTGTGACCCCATGGACTGCAGCAATGCCAGTCTTCCCTGTCCTTCACCAACTCCTGGAGCTTGCTCAAACCCATGTACATTGAGTCAATGATGCCATCCAACCATCTCATCCCCTGTCATCCCCTTTTCCTCCTGCCTTCAATCTTTCCCAGCATCATGGTGTTTTCCAATGAGTCAGTTCTTCGCATCAGGTGGCCCAAGTACTGGAGTTTCAGTTTCAGCATCAGTCCTTACAAAGAATATTCAGGATTGATTTCCTCTAGAATTCAATGGTTTGATCTTGCAGTCCAAGGGACTCTCAAGAGTCTTCTCCAACAGCCCAGTTCAGAAGCATCAGTTCTTCAGCGCTCAGCTTTCTTTATAGTTCAACTCCAGTATCCTTGTCTAGAAAATCCCATAGACAGAGGAGCCTGGTGTGCTACAATCCATGGGGTCACAAAGAGTCAGACACGACTGATCAGTTAACACACAGACACACACACCCATACATGACTACTGGAAAAACCATAGCTTTGATTAGATGGACCTTTGTTGGCAAAGTTATGTCCCTGCTTTTTAATATGCTGTCTAGGTTGGTCATAACTTTTCTTCCAAGGAGCACGTGTCTTTTAGTTTCACGGCTACAGTCACCATCTGCAGTGATTTTGGAGCCCCAAAAATAAAGGCTCTCACTGTTTCCATTGTTTCCCCATCTATTTGCCATGAAGTGATGGGACCAGTTGCCATGATCTTAGTTTTTTAAATGTTGAGTTTTAAGCCAACTTTTCCACTCTCCTCTTTCACTTTCATCAAGAGGCTCTTCAGTTCTTCTTTGCTTTCTGTCATAAGGGTGGTGTCATCTGTATATGAGGTTAGTGATATTTCTCCCTGCAATCCATTTTATAATAAAGAAGCCCTTATAAGTCAGGAGTTTCAATTATTTTAATATTTTGAGAGTTACTTATATTACAAATGAATTTGGTTAACTTGACAGCATTTGTTGTTGTTCAGTTGCTAAGTGGTGTCTGACTCTTTGTGATCTCATGGACTGCAGCACTCCAGGCTTCCTTGTCCTTCACTATCTCCTGGAGCTTGCTTAAACTCATGTCCATTGATTAGATGATGCCATCCAACCATCTCTTCTTCTGTCATCCCCTTCTCTTCTTGCCCTCAATGTTTTCCAGCATCAGGGTCTTTGGGAAACAATAAATACAACTAGCAGTAAAACTAGACCATTCATCATTTGATATTTCTTGATGACTTAGAGGTGGTTCAGGACATGATGACTGTCCAGAACAATAATAAGTATCAGCTATGGGAAAAGTAGACTGATTAACTTTTTAATTATATGTGTTCTGTGTTTACACAACTATTTATTTACTTAACCTCTGATGTCTGATGGAAACTAATTCTTTAGCCAAAGTGGTCTATGTTTTTCTTGGTCCTTTGGCTTTTATTTATTTAAGTTAATTTTTATTGGAGTGTAGTTGCTTCGGGTTTCCCAGGTGGTGCAAGTGGTAAAGAATCTGCCTGCAATGCAGGAGACACCAGTTCGATCCCTGGTTGGGAAGATCCTCTGGAGTAGGAAATGGCAACCCACTCCAGTACTCTTGCCTGGAAAACTCCATGGACAGAGAAGCCTGGCGGGCTACAGTCCACAGGGTTGCAAACACTCGGTCATGACAGCACACATGCACATAGTTGCTTTACAACGTTGTGCTAGTTTCTGCTGTAGTTAGTTTCTTCTGTACGCCAACGTGGATCAGCTGTATGTACACATATACCCCTTCTTGGTTTTGTGATTTCCCTTCCATTTAGCTCACCACAGAGCTCTGAGTAGAGTTCCCTGAGCTATACAGCAGGTTCTCATTAGTTATCTATATTACATATAGTATCAGTATTTACTACACTTCTTGCACATCAAAACTTTCATTTTGTTCAGAGTGTGTTTCCTTCTGAGTTGCTACCTACAGACCCGTGCTAAATGATGTAGCACTCTAGTATCTAGATCATACTAACTCCAAAAAGGTACTTTGAAGGAGAAGAGAAAATGAGCAGCATAGGTTAGGACAGGGTTCCCCACCTTGGCACTAGTGCTATTTTGGGCAGAATAACTGTTCATCTTCGGGAAGACACTCTGTGAATTATAGAACATTTAGCAACATCCCTAACCTCCATCCACTAGAACATTAGTTGAACCACTAGTTGTGACAAACAGGAATGTCTTCAAACATTTTTATCCCCAAAGGAGGGGAGAAAATCACCTCTGATTAAGAAGCACCAAATTAGGGAACTTTCTTGGTGGTCTAGTGGCTTAGACTCTGTGCTCCCAATGCAGGGGGCCTGGGTTCAATCCTTGCTAGGGAGCTAGAGTCCACATGCTACAACTGAAGATCCCGCATGCCATAACTCAGCACAAGACCCAGCACAGCCAAAGAAATAAAAGCAGCACCAAATTAGGACAAGGGCATTTTAAGATGACTACAGGCAGTTTCGGTGTGCTCCCATTAATACAGATCAGAGCTCATCAATACTCTTTGAAGTAAGACCAGGCCCAAGGCATGTTCTGTTACAGTCACAAACCCAGCTCCTACTTCTGTCTCAACTCAGTGGACTCATAAGTGGTTAAACTGTGTCAACAATAAATTGAAACCGGTATTTGTTCTACTAGGAAGGTGGAATATTATTATATGATGTTATTGTCAAACTGGGGGAGTGCATAAAAGAATAGATAGAACTATTACATGATCTGGGAATCCTCAATGTGTGTATTCATTCTGAAAGAAACAAAATCTGTATCTCAAAGAGATGCTGCTCTCCTGTGTTCCCTGCAGCACTATTCACAATAGCCGAGACATGCAAACAACCTGTGTCTGTCATGGATGACTGGATAAAAACAATGTGAGAGGCATATATACATGTATCCGTTATATACATATGTATGTATAAATAGAGTTCAGCCATAAAAAACAAGGAAATCCTGCCCATGGGCGACAGTGGACGAACCTAGAGGACATTATGCTAAGTGAAAATAAACCAGACAGAGAAAGATAAATACTATGTGATCTCACTCATATGTGGAATCTAAACACACAGAATGAGGAGGATTGTAGCTGCCATGGGTTGGGGGAGTAGAGGACATTGGGGAGATGTTGGTCAAAGAATGCAAACTTCCAGTTGTAAGATGAATGGTTCTGTGGGTCAATCAGATTGTATTGTACACATCAGTAGGTCAGAAGCATTATTACCACATATACAAAAAGGTTGGGCTTCCCTGGTGGCTCAGAGGGTAAAGAGTTTGCCTGCAATGTGGGAGCCCTGGGTTCAATCCCCGCGTCGGTTAGATCCCCTGGAGAAGGAAATGGCAATCCACCCCAGTACTCTTGACTGGAAAATTCCATGGATGGAAGAGCCTGGTAGGCTACATTCCATGGGGTTGCAAAGAGTCACATATGACTAAGGAACTTCACAGGCTTCCATGGTAGCTCAGTCGGTAAAGAATCTGCCTGCAGTGAGGAGACCCAGGTTCAATTCCTGGGTTGGGAAGATCCCCTGGAGAAGGAAATGGCAACCCACTCCAGTATTCTTGCCTGGAAAATCCCGTGGACAGTAAGGCCAGCCAGTACAGTTCATGGGGTTGCAAGAGTCGGACACAACTTAGTGACTAAACCACCCCCGCAGAGAGGTAATTATGTGAGGTGGTGGATGTGTTAACTTAATTGCAGTAGTCATTTCACAACATACATATTCCTCAAATCATCACACTGTACACTTTAAATACATACAATTGTTTGTCAATTATACTTTAAAAAAAGCTGGGAACATATAAAGAATAGGTACCTGCTATTCTTCTCATCTTGTCCTCTGTGTCTCCAGCCAGTTTTGCTGCTGCATCTTTTAGCTGTTTCACTTTTCCTAATGTTTCCTTTGTCAGTCCTGGCACGCTCATCTTATGCTGAAGAACAGCATATTGATTCTGTAGCTCAACAAACTCCTACAACAGAGTAACATTCTCATTATCAGAAGATACTTATAAAGCACACACACATGTGATGTCTGTCTGATACTGTGCATAAAAGAAGAGGCAACTCTCATCCACTCAATACGTTTGAGTCACTCTGAGATGTCCAACAGGGCTTTCATCTGCATTGTTTGTTTGTTTACAGGTCGACAAAATTCTCAGCTTTAGTGAATTAAAAATGAAAATTTCCTGTTATAAAATATCATACATTGCTTTATGTGATGGCAACTATTTATGAGGTACCAGTTTGTCCTGAAGTATAAGGTCAGAGCTACACAGGACAGAACTGACTCAGTGCTGCCCTTGACAAAGGTCTCGGTTCAGTTGGGTTGAGCACTTACAAGTGCAAGGTGAAGGTCAGAGAGAGGGGTGAACATTCAGAAGCAAGGACACAGGATTTGCTTGGCACAAAGGTGAGGCAGGAGCGTGGTAGGAAGGGAGGCAGGAGGTTATGAAGGGCTCCCTCAATATTAGGAGGGAAATCTTTAGGGTCAGCCTGAGTGGCTGACAACCTAGAATGTTAGATTAGATGAATGCAGGCCCAACCCAGGAATGGACTATGGCAGTGGTAGCAGGGGGGCAGGAAGCACCTTTCTCAACCTCTGTTCCATAGAAAACACCCTCAACTCCCAAGTGAGTGGAAAATGTACCCAGCACAGTAGGAATTCAGAGCAAGAAAATACACCAGTTACAAAAAACACTTCAACCTCTTTCTTTTGCTTAAGCTGCTCTATGAATGAGACCAGCCAAAGATTTCCTGCCAAGAAAATGAGTTGATAGCTTCTTTCAGCAACCGAAATGAACAGGCCGTTTTCCACAACTGGTTCACGAGCTCACTCTGATTTTTGGAGCTCAGTCTATTCTCTTTGGCAGGTGACTTGCACTTCTTTATCTGCTATGTGATTTAATTAGAGCAAAGGGCAGATACGTACAGTTAGACCCATGACACAAATTGTGAACATTTGGAAGTTTAGGAAAAACTTCGATTAGATGGGGTGAACAGTCTAACATAATCTAGTCACAAAACTCTTGCCTGGGAGACAGCCCTCCACGTACAGAAGCGTCTTCTGCCCAGCAGGGTCCCTACACACACACTATGGAACATGGACCAGCACTAAAGGAAATGCTGACAAATGGCACAAAAATCTGGGGTTAAGGGATTCTCTTTCAAAGAAGCACTGTCTGTCTGCTCTTGGTGGCAGAGGCAGGACCCACGACCTCCTCAAGGCCCCCAGCCTGGTGCCGGGCTGCTTCAGCCTGAGCTCGTGCGCCAACGGCCTCGCCTCGGTTCCTCTGCAGCGTGGTCTGCAGCTGGGCAAGTCCACGCTCCAACGCGGACTGGTGCTTTGCTATGTCCAGCTTCTTCTTTGTCTCCTGGGCCTGATTTTCAGCCTGCTGTTGATTGAAACACCAGAAAGGAAAAAGTTTCTTTACGTAATAAACAAACAAGAAAATAAATGATGTAATGATCCCTCGACAAATAAGCTAGGTGTAAAGGGAAAGAAAACTGTTCCTTTGCTTTTTCTGTTCTATTAAAACAATCTTATAATGCTTCAGACAATAGGGTCTAAGAGAAAATATGGCACATATCAATGTAGCCACCCTCTGGCCTAAGAGTAAGTAATGCCATGAGCCAAGGTCTTGGGTGTACCACCCTCCTCTCCATATCTCCCTCCACCCCCTCAAAGGTTACCACTACCCTGAATCTAATACTTTTTATTCCACATACTTCCTTTCATTCCATATGTGTGTGTGTGTGTGTGTGTACATACATGTATTAACTGTCTTTTTGGGTATTTCTAACAAAATACAGTATTTTCTACTTTTAAACTTTATACATATAGCATCCTGTGTTTTTCTGCTGCTTGAATTTTTAAATTCAAAATTATGCTTGTACAGGTCATTTAAGCCAATTTGCATAGCTCTTGTGTATTCACTTTTACCAATTTAAAGTGTTTCACAGTTTGACTGTACAAAAATTGACTTTTCTATTCTCTGGCAATTCAGGGGTGGCTTCTAATTTTTTTCTCCCTTATAAATAATAACAAACCCCTTACACTTATTCCTTATTTTGGTGACTATGCTTGCATATCTAAAAGTCTGATTTGTCATTTGTTATCTCTTTTGTTCTTTGGTCAAAGTTTCATACCTTCTTTGATTTTTCTTAAGCATAATAAACACTCTTATTTTGTATCGGATATCCAGTAATGGTTACATCTGAAGTCTCCTGCATTCTCTTGTTTGCTATTTCTGATGATTCTGGCTTAAGGCAAGTTATTTCTTTATTATGTGTTTTAAGGGAACCCTTTGAGGCTTGGTTTTAAGGTTCAGTCCTTTGGAAAGGATATCTCATGGCCTCTGTCAGGCATCTGAGGGCCTTGATAACTCAGGGTCACTTTAAATGACATTTTTAGCTTGGTTTATGGGGGTTACCCAGGTAGTGTGGATTCGAGCCCCATCTTACCTGAAAGCCAGCTTGTTAATAATTTTCAGTGAAGATTATCCCCCTCCACACAGAGGCTAGTGTCTTTACCATCTCTCTCTGTGGAATGGTCTAACATTTCCTTGAGGGTGTGCCTTTTAAGGTTCCTACTCTCTGCAGGGCCTCACTGCCTCCTTGGATGGGTTTTGTCTTCTATTACTTATGGCAGCTATGGAAACCAGCAGTGCAGATACCCCAGGGATTGGCAGTAGCCCTCTGTCTGCTGTCGGCTTCCTGCTCGATTAACTCTCTGGATCATGCTTTCCCGTCATTTTTGGCCTCTGAAGATGTCCTCCATTTTTTACCAATTCAGTGATGCATATAAACATGCTTTAAAATAACTTTTTCAGGTTTCTTTTTGTTGTTGTTGTTAAGCGGGTTCCTTTGTGTACTGGTCCATCAAGCTGCTAGAAACACAAGCCCCTTCCTGTGCCCTTGGGTATATGTGGGAGTTTTTCTAGAGTAGGAATCTGCAAGCTTTTTCTGTAAACGGCCTGACAGTAAACATTTTATACATTGTGGTCCAGAAAATCTCTATTGCAACTATTCAACTCAGTGCCGTGGCTGCGCAAATGGCCCATGGACAATATGTGGCTGAATTCCAATCAAACTGTGTGACTTTGGACTCTACAACTGTTGGTGGGTGCATGCGGCCCCTGGGCTGTATTTTGCCAACGCCTATTCTAGAGTAGGTGCACAGAGGAGAAAACCTGGAGGCCTTCTTTATTTTTTGCTCCTATATATGTGCAACCTCTTCATATCTAACCTTTTTTTAAATTTCCTGGTGTAGTAATCCTGTTCTGGTGCTTTCTGCTTTTCTTTTCAGGATGCCTGTATTTTGATATCTAAAATGAGCTGAAGAACAGGGACTGAGGAGCTTGCAGTCTGCTGGGAAGGGGACGAGCCTTGGAGGAGAGATGTCATGGATTCGCAGAGTAGGACCTGTTCTGTCCTTTAACTGCCAGGCTTCCTCTTCCAGACCTATCATGTGGGTTAAAGCAGGCTTTATTCCTGCCAAACTCTGGGTGGAACCCTTTCTTTTGGGTTATCTTTCAGTTTTAGGATATGCTGGTGAGATTTTATATAAATTTCATTATAAAAGTCTGGCAACAACAACAACAAAAAAAAAGTCTGGCAACAATTAATTTAATTTCTTTGGTTGGTGAGCTTTCAAAGCTCTATGACTTTCCCTGGTATAAGAACGGATAATATGATATCACTTATATGTGGAATTTAAAATACAACACAAATAAACCTATCTACCAAACAGAAACAGACTTACAGACATAGAGATTAGACTTCTGATTGCCAACATGGGGGGTGGGGCCGGGGGGCTGGGAGGGATGGACTGGGAATTTGGGGGCAGTGGATGTTAAATATCACATTTAGAATGGATAAACAACAAGGTCCTACTCTATAGGACAGGGAGCCATAGCCAATCTCTTGGGATAAACCATAATGGAAAAGAGTATTTTAAAAAGAATGTGTATATGTGTAAAACTGAATTACTTTGCTGGACAGCAGACACTGGCACAACACTCTAAATCAACTATATTCCAATTAAAAGATTAAAAAAAAAAGAAGGGATATACTGTCCTCACATCTATCACTAATTAGCTGTGTGACCTTAGGCAAGTGACTTAGCTTCCCCAGGTCTTACTTTCTTCATTTACAAGTTGGTGGTAGCACCTGCTTTGTCCCCCAGGCTTGGCCAACAGTGAAAAGAAATAATGCTGGGAGAGCTCTGTAGAAGATTAATTACACATATAATACTATCATAGTCTTATTTATCATCATAATGATCCCATTGAACAGGTAAGACAAGCATGACATTGGCAGACATAAAACCTGTGCTGTTTCCACAGTTGAAGTTTATTTCAGGTTAGTTTCAAAGAAGATAAAGAAAATACCTGAAGTTCGTTCTTTTTGATTTTTGTTATCTCGGCAGTCAGCTGTGTGATGGTAGAATCTGCCCATCCTTGAGTGATTTGAACTTGTTGCAACTTCTTCAACATTTTGCTGAGATTTGATAGAACATTTTCTGCTTTTCTGAGGTAAGATATTAACATATCAGATTAGATAAATAAACAATTATTCATTTATTTCACCTTGAAAGTTCATTCGACTCAACCAAAAACTTTCCTGAATTATTCATAAAGTCTGTTTAAATTACTCTCGAGCAAGGCAAAGTGCTGAAGTCTTCATTTTGAGAAACAGGTATATTTAAATGCCAATAAAAACACATATATTGTATATGCCTACATAGGTACAGATTTTGCCAGGTATGGAAATCAAAGATATAGATATCATTTCTTAACTTGTCATAAGCAGAGCGATTTGGGTAAAAACAGTGCCAAGCTTGGAACAACAACAACAAAAAATTATCTTCAGCCAGTTCTTTCCTGCCTCCTCAAACTTAAGCAATGCTCTTGAAATCCTTATGGGGGGTGGGTTGGGGTGGGGGAGGGCAGGTCAAGAGGCTCCACGGAGAGCAAAGAGAGTGAAAGGCTTTGCATTTACAGGCTGTGTTTATTCAGGTTTATTTAAGCTTCACTGACATTCCAGCCGCCCAGGGGCCCAGTCAGAGGTTAAAATCACAAGCATTCCAAGTGATAGTCTATTTTACAGAAATGAGCTCACCTCAAGTCAACATTCACCAGATACTTAGATCTACGGGCTCAGAAGAACCTTTGGAAGAATGTACGAAGTCAGGGAGATAGCTGACTGACCTTAGCAGAGACATTGTTAGAAATGCTTGTATAGGAGCAAAAATAGCTAAATGGCAAAACATCCCCTTCTCCAATCAACCCATCCTCTCCTCCTGGTGGTAATTTTTTTTCTGTTTAAAGAAAAATACCATTTTATAAGAGCAGTTTTAGGGTCACAGCAAAATTGAGAGGAAGGTACAGAGATTTCCCATACATTTCTAACCTCCCCAGTTACTGACACCCCACACCAGAGGGTCCATTTGTTACAACTGATGAACCTACACTGACACATCATAATCACCCAAAGTCCACAGTTTACATTAGGGCTCACTCTTGGTGTTGTCCATTCTGTGGGTTTGGACAAATGTATAATGACATGTATTTATCACTATAGTATCAAACTGAGTATTTTCACTGTCCTAAAATTCCTCTGTGTTTGCCTATTCATCCCTCCCCTCAATCCCTGCAACCACTGATCTTTTTTTTTTTTTCTTTTCCACTGTCCCCATAGTTGTGCTATTTCCAGAAGGTCTTAGAGTAAGAATCATACAGTTATGTAGCTTTCCTTTTCTACATTTCTTTCTCTACAGTTACAGAAAGGGGTTCCAGAGTCTTTCCTTCTCATAACTCTCCCTATCCCCATATCTTTTTATGTATTCTTTTTTCCCTTAGATTTTCAATGTACTGCTCATTATAGCACATTTAGAGAACACTCCCCAAAAAAGAAGAAAGAAGAAAAAAATATCGGAGAGAAAATTTACCAATACTTCTACCACCTTTTATGATATTGGCATATTCTAACATTTTTGTCCTTATAAGACTTTTGTTTCCATGACTGAGAGCCTCTTCTGTGTATAATGTGTTATCTTCTTTTTAAAAGTATTAACATTACACTAAGAATCTCTGCATGTTACTTCATCAGCATCATTTTTAACAGCAGTATGATCGTGCTGTAGTTACTTAATCTTCCTAGTTGTAAACAGTAAAACTGGAAGGGGCTGGGCTTTCAGCAGAGTCTGAGGGACTTTATTTGTTTAAGTGAATGGTGAGACAGTGAAGACAGTTCAGGTCTCAATTCTGCTTCGGGGCATCCAAAAATGATGGTGGATGTAGATAACGATACCATCATCCACTGACCCTATGACCTTGACTCACAGTACCCCATGATCAACATCAAGGTGGCGTCTCATCTCTGGTTAGCGAAGTCAACAGGGCGAAAAGCAGCAAGGATTAGTTGACTTTGTGTGCTGTATATGTCATTCTATTCCAGTACTACTTTTGGGGCACTAGAGTCCTTCTCTTCCTTACCATCAAAACTTTTATATATATATATTTAAGTTTAGATTTTCAAAGTACTGCTTATTGCCATAAATATAGAAAGAACCAAAAATCAGTGTAAAAGAAGGGAAAATACACAGATATTCCCACCACTTGTTAAGATACTGGCATAAAATTAACACACAGCTTTTACTGGCGTATATTGGTATAAAGAGGTAACAGACCACAGTAAGGGTGCTCAGTCTAAGGAAAATGGGAAACCAGCATCTGTGCCCTGCCTCCCAGCTTCCCAGCTTCCTAGGGCACCTCCACAGACAGCTGAGCCTTCATTTTGGGCAATGAACTATCAGAGGATAATTTCATTTGAATGTTGTAGCTCCTTAGGCAAATATTTTTCTGATGACCTTTCAGCAGATTGCCTGTTAGAGCAGGAGGAGAACATTAATATTAATTGTACTTAACTGCTTCTGCCTTCACCAGAACCTTTTGGGCTCCATCTGCTGCTTTGTTTAGCCTGTCCTCTTCCGTCCTGTAGTCCTCACAGAGTTGCGTAAGTTTCTGTATTTTGTCAAGTTCATGGGTTAGATTTTGTGATGTTATTGGTAGGTGGATGTCAAGTACACGATTTGCCACCTTCTCTACATCCTCTGGAGGCACATTTTCCTCTTAAATAAGAATGTGTTTTAGATAACTGCGTTTCCTTATCACTCCATCTTGTCAATATCATCACAATGAATTCTAAGTTAAATCTATTTGTATTTGATTAGTGTCCCTAGAATACAGGAACTAGACTGTAAGTGTCCCATAGACGCTTCTGCATCTTCAATTTCCACTTCTCTGTGAAAGAAACACTGTTTGTGTAACGATGAACACAACCTGTATAAATGTTTGTTGGAAAAATGAAAAATAACAGATTTGGGATATTTTGTGACCTACAAAATGTCTTCACAAGAATTGCTTATTGTAAGTACAGATTCAAAAACAATTAAAATGTTTAGATGCCTGTCATTAAGATTCAAAACCATGGAAAACTATTATGCATAGAGTGGATCAGCAACAAGGTCCTACTGTATTGCACAAGGAACTATATTCAATATGCTGTGATAAGCCGTCATGGAAAGGAGTATAAAAAAGAATGGAAATATATGTATAACTGAGTCACTTTACTACGCAGCAGATATTAACAACAATATAAATCAGCTATAAAGAAAGAAAGAAAAGAAAGTGAAGTCGCTCAGTCGCGTCCGACTCTTTGCGACCCCATGGACTGTAGCCTACCAGGCTCCTCTGTCCGTGGGATTCTCCTAGCAAGGGTACTGGAGTGGGTTGCCATTTCCTTCGTTCAATTTAAAAAAAAAAAGATTCAAGCACCATGAATGAGATAATAGGGAAGCCCTGGGTTTGGACTCAACAAAACTCCACTCTAATCCCCCCTGCCATTAAAAAGGCTCACAATTGCCTATTATACAAAGTGAAGTAAGTCAGAAAGAGAAACACAAATACTGTATACTAACACATATATATGGAATTTAGAAAGATGGTAACGATGATCCTATATGAGAGGCAGCAAAAGAGACAGAGATGTAAAGAACAGACTTTTGGACTCTGTGGGAGAAGGCGAGGGTGGGATGATTTGAGAGAATAGCACTGAAACGTGTATATTACCATATGTAAAATAGATAACCAGTACAATTTCAATGCATGAAGCAGGGCACTCAAAACTGGTGCTCTGGGATACCCAGAGGGATGGATGGGGAGGGAGGTAGAAGGGGGGTTCTGGATGGTGGGACACATGTACACCCACTTCTGATTTATGTTGATGTATGGCAAAAACCACCACAATATTGTAAAGTAGTTACCCTCCAATTAAAATAAATTAAGAAAAATAAAAAGGTTAACAATTTTTGCTTATCTGCATAACAGGGTAATTATATCTGATACTACTTCTCAAAGGCCTATTTTGAGAAGGGATATGACAAAATATAGTATGAGCAACATATTATCAAGGAACTTCTAAATACATCTATGCCCTGCTTTTCAGAAAATAGAATTGGCCTCCTTTGAGAAGTGAAGTGGGAGATGTACTGTAGGTGTTTGGGGAATAACTCTTTGTCTCTTTCTGGCTCCTTACTGAGGCACAGATCCCGAGTCCCATGGGGAAGTCAGAGATGAATTAGATACAGATCTGATCTCCAAGGGGTTTACCATCAAGTCAGGAAATTATAAGTCATTCCAGATGATTGCTGATATTTCATAAGAGGAGAAGTGATAAATGTAAGACAAAATGATGTGGTGTTCAGAGGGAAGAGAAAATATTTCAGGAAGAACTTTAAGAAGACATTCAAATCTGGTCTTAGAAGCCCACACAGATTAAATCTGTGCAGATGTGGGTTGAAGGGACGGGTAAGGGCATTGTCAGCTCAGGCAAAAAGCTCAGGGTGGAACAGGTAAATTGTGTGTTTGGCTGGCCAGTGGAGGGGGTGTCGAAAAAGTGTGTGAAAAAGTTAAAAAGTGTCTTAAAAAGTTTTAAAAAAGGAGGTGTAGTTCAGGAAGGCTGGGAGTGAATCACACAAGCCCCTAAATGTGGGGCTAAGGAAACTGGACTTCATTCAAAAGACAATGGGAGCCATCGATGGCTTTCAGTATTTGAGTGACACGACCTAAGTATATATCTTCTTTGCAGTCATTTTGCCTTAGCTAGTTTTAATATAAAAGGACTATTTTACTTAGTTTTTTTTTTTTTTTTTAGCTGTGCCACATGGCTTGTGAGGTTTTAGTTCCCCAACCAGGGATTGAAACTGGGCCCTTGGCAGTGAATGTGCCAAGTCCTAACCACTGGACCGCCAGCAAATTCCCAAAGTGAATGTTTTACTTCCTAAACTGTTTTTGAAAAAATGCAACAAGAATTTTTCATGAATAAATTAAAGCTGTATTTTAAACAGAATCATGGATCTGGCTCTTTATAGAAATGGTAGCTGTTTTGTTAAAAAGAAAAGTTCTAATAAAAAGTGAAGTGAACTTAATTCCACATTCAGTCATGAAACATTTATTGGCATTGATCATGAGATTAGAAATTAAAATTTAAATGATTATAAATTCACTTTCAGGAAAAGTGACACAAAATTCTGTTAATAAGGAATTCAGATCACAAGGAAAATATTAAGATGGTCAAAGAGGAGCTGCATAGAGTGGCCAGCATAAATGTAATATTTTTATTTGGGCTTTACAGCCAAGAAAATTGAAGAAATTGGGTGGGCAAAAGGTACCATTTCCTGATGACCAAGAATCTCGGGACCCTGACCAGGGAAGTTCCTTTTATGGAATAGGATTTTTCTTGATGCCTAGCCTAGTTTTTGTTGTAATAATCTGAACACAGTCCCCCCCCCCCCCCAATTCCTTAGGCTAATTAAAGTGACATTTTTACTGTGACTCTATTTAAAGTGACATTCTAGTAGCAATGAGAACCAGGACCAGTATAGCAATAGGCTCTATGATCCAGTGAACTAGGAGGGAAACAGGTAGAACCTGTTTTGTGATCTGTTGCTTGAGTTCAGGACTGTATTTTACCATTTTCATACGACAGCAGTGGTAGTTCTGATATTTAGTTTGGGTGTCTGAATTAACTTGTATCTGCAGAAATAGCTAATGTGTTCCTCACATTAATTGGCATTGATTATGAGATTAAATCTACTAGATTAAATCACAGATCTACTAGGATCTGTGCCTAGTAAATAGTCAATCTAGCTTCTCACTGAAAATTTGCTTTTGAACAAACAAATGTCCAGCTGACTGATTTCACACCCAGTCATTTTCACTGATTATTTTGGTCATTTTTACTGATTATTTTCACTCCCTATTTTTTTTCTTATTTTGAAAATCAGTATTAGAGCTGCTAATACAATTTCTAGAAACAATGAAATAGAACTTGGCCACAGGGGTCTCTTATAAAAATCAATAGCAAAGAGATTTAATAAAGTGACTGCAAAGATTGTAACTGACATCCTAACTGTTGATTAATTCATGTGGAGATATTAAATGACTGAATTTGGAAGATGGCTGTGGGAAAACTTTCTCAGATCAATTCCATTGTAGTATTGTACCCAAATGACATTATTTGCAGAAAGTGAGGTTTCAGGTCAATTTCCAGCTGTACTATTTGATTTTTATCTTTAACTGATAATTCTCTAGAGTTTAAAACAAACCTTTCCCAGGGACTTCCCTGGTAGTCCATTGGTTAAAGCTATGCACTTCCACTGCAGGGGGCATGGGTTCAACCCATGGTCAAGATACTAAGATCCCTTATGCGTGGGGTGATCAAAAACAAAGAAAACAACAAACCTCTCCTAAAATAAGGCACTGTGAGGGATAATAAGTTTATAATCATAATAATAATGAATCAAATAGTTCCCCCTCTGGCAGGCACAGAAAGACATGAGTCTTGGAAAATAGTCAATAACAGTTATCCAAAATAATCAGTATTTTAGATGCCACTTCACTACAGTATTTGATATACTAACTAACAATTGGCTTACCATGATCTCACTCTCAGATTGTGGAATCTGACAGAGTCTTCATGTGAGATTTTCCTTTTAAAAAAATAATATAATTTTAAACGCTAAGTTCACTTGTTTGGAATTTTCACTAAATTCTAGGATTTATTATCAAATTAACCTTATATAGAGAACCATATTTTTTGATACAGATTTAATATTTTGCAATTGTTTTCATTAAGAAATTTAAGATCAACAAGTATGTCTTGTTTTGGATTTAGGCATGTGATTGCCAATTAATGTAATTTGGAATTGGTTGATGCTTCAGTATACATTGAAAAGGAAGAAAAGGGAAGAGGAGATGGGGGAGGTGGGGGAAAAGAAGGAAGAACAAAAACTAGTTCTAATATTTTTAAAAAAATTACCTAACAAAAATATTTTCAGTTTTTTTATTTTATTAGAAGATTCATTTTTTCTTCTTCAGATTCACTTTGGTTTTTCATATTCCTCAGTTTCTTTCTTAGCTGTAATGCACTCTTTTTGCAATCTTCTGCCAGTTTACTTATATTTCTGATCTTGAATAGAAAAAACAAAAATGAGGCAAACATAACAATCAGGCATATTCTGGGATGTCTCCTTACTTAGCTGACCAAATAGAACTCACTAAAACTGAAATAAAGTCTAGATAACTAAACAATAGATTCATGTTAAAGGACTCTTTTAAAAGGTGATATTGGTTGTTTTCATCATCCTGTTTTCTTAATAATGTAAACTTCTCTCTTAAAACATTATTAGTGATCAAAATTGCTATTTGAAAACAATGCCTTTTCCTGATATAAATTGAAAATACAAATTTTCTTTTTAGGAGATGTTAGTATTTTAGGGTATCAGAAAATTTCACAGAATTACAGTGATCATCATGTTTAGGAAGCTGAGAACATTTTCTTTAATATAAGTTAAAATATTAACTTTAATAAGTTTAACATAAGTTTAAATCTTTACTCTTTTAAACATTCTTCAAATTCAAATAATATACGCTCTTTGAGCACAAAAAGAAAGCATTCTTTCTTTTAATAAATGAGTTTGAACTCAGAGCAGGCTACAAAAATAAATTACAAATACTGTGTACACTTGGTGGAGAAACGATAAGGACTAAAACGTTTACAACTTAGAAGCGAAAATTCTTAACTGTATGATTTGAAAAAGGTCATGGACTTTTTCTTAGGATTCCAACAAATGAGAGAAAGAGAAAAAAATGGAGAGCAATAGAACAATATCACCCACAAGTTGAGCTGCACTGAATAAATTAATTGTGACAGAAGCACGGCTAATTAGGATCAAACATAGTTAGGGGAAAAAAATCTCCCTTTATTTCTCCATAAAAAAACAGCTTAATTTAAGCCATACAGATTCTGTGGAAAAGGATTTAATGGTAGTCACTGGCAAATGATGAAACAAAACAGAAATATTTACATGATGAAAAATATGTACCTTAATTTTTTGGACTTGTTCCTTCATTCTCTAGAACTTTTTAAACTTTAAAATGGATACCAGTTGCCAAGAGAGATTTTAAAAGTTCTTATCACAGGAAAGAAAATGTAACTACATGTGGTGATGGATGGATGTTAACTAAATTTATTGTACTAATCATTTCACAATATATACATATATCAAATCATTATGTTGTTCACCTAAAACTAATACAAATTTCCTATGTCAATTATATTTCAATAAAAAATAAAGTGGAGAAATTGTGAGTAAGAATACATAGAAGTGAGATGAGAATATCAGAAATAAATACTCTGGTCAGGAAGCACCAAGTTACACAGATGAAATCTCAATGTAGATTAGTTGATGCCATATTCAGAAAGAACAAGATTGCTAAATTACTTCATTCTTAAAACATTTCTCTGCAATCCATCCTCTGTCACGACTCCTGAGAATTCTCTTGTAATCTCTTCTGGCATGCTTCCCCCTTCTAATCAAGAGGAAAATAGCACACTATTTTATCAACATGACAACTTTCATCCTTTTCTAGTTCTCCATTTATATGTTGATTAAGCAAGATTCTGCTATTATATACTTCAGGTGTTATCTTTTAAAAATAATCACTTAACATGGGACTTATTTAAATGGTGTGAGATTTCTGGTTTTTGAGGAGGGACACAATAGTAGTTTAACATTACATGAAATGATTAAGTGTTGGTTTAAGCACAGGGATACAAGACCAGGATTCGTATTTGTTCACTGTTGAATTCCCAGCATGTAGATAAATGCCCAGCATGCAATAGGTACTCAACGAATATTTGTTAAAGCATCGAAGAATAATATATAAGTGAAAAAACTAGGTGGCAATACAAATTTGAATGCTAAGTCGCCTCAGTCATGTCTGACTCTTTGTGATCCTATGGACTCTAGCCTGCCAAGCTCTTCTGTCCACGGGACTCTCCAGGTAAGAATACTGGAGTGGTTGCCATGCCCTCCTCCAGGAGATCTTCCTGACCCAGGGATTGAACCTGCGTCTCTTATGTCTCCTGCAGTGGCAAGCAGGTTCTTTACCACTAGCACCACAGATGACTATGTAAACAAAAAATGTCAACATTTAGGATGTGTAGGGATGTTCTTCAACCTGACTATAATCAGAGACCTGCTCCTGAACTTGGATTCTAGAGCCTGTGGAGCAAGGATATAGGACCAGCTGGGGCTCAGGTCCATGGAGACGAGGCTCATGGAACAAATGGCTGCTCTGGAGTGTGTATGTGCAGGAGTGTGTATCTTAGTTGTGGTTCTCACCCCATTTTCAAGTCTGGCTCTGTATCCTTCTTTCACTTCTGAGGCCCAGATGTCCGCACGTAATTTCCTTTCTGTTCAGGAGTTGGTTTCTGCCACTTGCAAACAAGAGGGCTGACTAATATAATATTTATCTTATATTGATTAAAAAATGCAGCTTTTTTCAGCTTTTCTTCTTCAAAGGCTCTATGTATATTGCCAAAAAAAAAGGCAACTAGGGAACATACCAACTTATTTTCAAGATGAACACAACGTACTCACAAAACTCTTAAATTTGTATTTATCCTTTCAAGGTGAATATAATGTATTCATCAAAGAGCCTAACTGAAAATAATATGTATTTTTTAGAAATGATTTTTAAAATTGTTTAAAATTATTTAAGATTCTGTTATCAGGTACTTAAATATTAAAACAACTTTATCATATCAACCTAGGAAGGAGTTTAAGGAATTAAGGGTATAATCCTATTAAAAACATTTATAACATTAAATTCTAACGTTAAAATTTGTCTATTTAGTAGAATTTCAAACACATTGTTGAATTTATGAAAAATTATTCTTTACTTGGAGATTTCTATAGTTTTCAAAACTCCAAGGCTAGGAATTTACACATTTCTATGCAGTGTTTGCTATAAAGCAATCATAATTAAACGTCTATGTATGTCCTATGAACATATACTCTGTTTTTCTCTTCTCTTTCTTTCCATACACACACACACACAATGTTATACACACACACAATGTTATACACACATATATACACATGTTTATATGTCATATATATGAGAAAAAATGTCAATATTCTCATCTATTTCTACATCATCATTTATAGTCACATCTATATTTTTAGGGTTTCCTTGGTGGCTCAGATGGTAATGCAGGAGGATCCAGGTTCGATCCCTGGGTTTGGAAGATCCCCTGGAGAAGGGCATGGCAACCCACTCCAGTATACTTGCCTGGAGAATTCCATGGACAGAGAAGCCTGGCGGGCTACAGTCCACAGGTTCACAAAGAGTCGGACATGACTGAGCAACTAACACTTTCATAACTTTTCTTTATTTTTATTCTGTATTTCCAGGCAAAAGAACACCTAACATCTAGAACCTATTCTTTCACTTAGAAGACAAATGGAAATTTAAAAAATTTCAAGCAGTTTGCTGTTTTAAAATTGCAACAGCTTTGCAAATAAAGCATGAGAAGACATCATTTACCTGTTTCTTCAACCTGTGAACTTGGTTGTTCAAATTGTGAATCACAGACTCTGCTTCCTGAGCTTTCTGCAGGGCATTCCTTGAGAGGGCTGGGGAGCCGTAACAGCTCGGGCCACCACAGGATGAGAGCACACAGGCCGTGTCCTCTCCTTCTCCACACACCTGAGAGGAAGAAGGATCTATGTCAGAAAGTAACTTGTTGGTAGAGTGTTTTTCTAACGTCATCCAGGCTCACTGAGGCAAGACACTGCTCTATTCACCTGTGTTTCTTCAACAGTTGTTCATGATTAATATGTAGATATGACCCATTAAATATGTCCTAGCTAACTGAATAAGTATCTAACTTATTTGCTGTTAGCACTGGTGTCAATCAATAACAGTTTCATACTTATGGTTTCTCTGGAAAATATTGAGCATTTCCATATTAATTTCATCTTTTTAAAAATAAAAACTACCTTTCACTCATGAAGCAGGAGGAGTAAATGTCCACAGTCTATACCATTTAGGAAATAGTAAATAGTATAAAATAATAAAATCAAGCCGCGATCTTTACTCTTTGATTTTTCTCAAACTTCGACTTAATAAATACAAAAATATTATTTTAGATTAAATATATATTATTTATATATTATTCCTATACTTATAAAATATAAATTAAAAATGAAATAAAACATTAGACAGGGAAATAGAAAAGATTTGTATATCAAATCGGGCTTCAAAGGTAGCACAGTGGTAAAGAATCCACCTGCCAAGGCAGGATTCAGGTTTGATTTCTGGGTCGGGAAGATCCTCTGGAAAAGAAAATGGCAACCCACTCCAGTATTCTTGCCTGGAAAATTCCATGGACAGCAAAGCCTGGATACAGTCCATGGTGTCCTGAAGAGTCAGACATGACTGAGCGATCAAGCACACACATATTAAGTAAACACCACAGATACTTTTACTATACTGTCATGAATATTTACCTTTTCTTGCAATATTTGAATATTTGCTATCTTGATCTGCTGTAATTTCTCCAATGACAAGTCTTTTGAGGTTAGTGTATCTAAGATGATAAGTAAGTCATTCCTGGTATTTTCGGAGTTGTTTATGATGGGTGTAGTTTCATTAATTTTCCTTTCAGTAGATAAAGAACTCTGATAATACTTCTTGATGTCCTTTGAAAAATCTACATTAACACAAATTGAGGTAAGATAAATTTTATGGAAACAACTGAAATTATACATGGGCTACCAACATAATCATTCTCTAACTTGACTAGACTGTTTTGGTCTCAATGATCAACACAAAAATTCAACATCCATTTCCTTGAGTTTGTACTTCACAGGGAAAAGTTAGAAGTTGTGTCATAGATACAGATGTAATACCTACAGAGCACTGAGGTTTAAGTCTGCAGACATAGATTTGAACGCTGGCTTCTCCCTTTACTGTGTGGGTATGTCCTTGAGCAAACCCATTAGTCTCTTAGATTGTGTCTCCTGTAAATTAGTGATAACAATTTGTGAAGATTAAGTGAAATCATATAAAAATACTCTGTGAAATGCTCCACATATGTAAGGTATTAATTTTGACTACCTATATGAACTCTAAGATGATGAACCAAGTTTATCCCACTACATAGCACAGAAGTTGACAAACTCATTCTACAAAGGTCAGAGTATAAATGTTTTAGGCTTACCTACCATCACATTGCTGTCACAACTACTCAACTCTGCCACTGTAGAGAAACAGTAACCATGTAAATAAATAGGTGAGCTTGTCTCCTAATGAAACTTTATTTATAAAAATAGACTGGGAGGGGAAATATGTATACCTGTGGTTGATTCATATTGATGTATGGCAGAAACTAACACAGTATTGTAAAGCAATTATCCCCCAATTAAAAGTAAATAATTTTTTTTTAAAAAAGGAAAAAAAACCTACCACAGGCTGTGGGTAGGATCTGCAGGCAGACTGTAGTTTGCTGACCTGTGATGTTGAAGCTGATGACAACAGCTACTGTGCTAAAGTGAAAGTCACTCAGTCAGGTCAGACTCTTTGTGACCCCATGGATTGTAGCCCGCCAGGCTCCTCTGTCCATGGAATTCTCTAGGCAAGAGTGGGTAGCCATTCCCTTCTCCAGGGGATCTTCCCAACCCAGGGATGGAACCCATGTCTCCCGCATTGCATGTGGATTCTTTTTTTTTTTTTTCATTTATTTTCATTAGTTGGAGGCTAATTATTTTACAATATTGTAGTGGTTTTTGCCATACATTGATGTAAATCAGCCATGGATTTACATGTGTTCCCCATTCCGACTGCATGCGGATTCTTTACCGCCTAAGCTACCAAATGGTGCTAAGTGCTTCCTATACAGCTGTACTTCTGATCAATTTTCGTCCTTAATTTTACAAAACACTGTGAGAACTAGCCCAACCACCATTTTACAAGTGGAAAAACGAGGCTGTGATGACAGGAAGTTCTCACTGATAGTAAGAGCTGCAGCGGGGATTGGAAGCCAGGTAGTGTGACTCTAGAGACTGTGTTCTTAAACATTTCTCTATATTTTGATAGAAATACAAATTCCTGAAAGCAAAATGTGATGTTTTAATGTAAATGATAGCATATTAGGGCTTTAGACTAGTTTAGGGACCAAAGGCCCATGATTCTGATCTTTACTTCATACATAACTGGAGTCCAGGCATGACAACCACTCTTTATCTTCTAAACATTCCTGGTTTTTATACTAACATACTCGGATGGCATCACCGACTCAATGGACATGAGTATGAGTAAACTCTGGGAGTTGGTGATGGACAGGGAGGCCTGGTTTGCTTCAGTCCATGGGGTGGCAAAGAGTTGGACACGACTGAGCGACTGAACTGAACTCTTACTATATCATGATTTTTATTTACCATGAACCACTTGCCTAAACAAACAAAAATCATCTTTCTATTGCTTGTAATGATTTTCTGCCTTGATTTATCTGGCAAATTTATCTTTATTCTATGAAGCCTTTTCTAATATACCCAGGAATAATACCATTCTCTCTACTTTGTTCCTGAAGAAGTTTGAAGATGCTCTAACAGAGTCTTTTCATTGTTTGGGGTTGTTTATATGCCTGGCTTTCCCACTGAGATTGGGATGACTTTAGGGTGAGGACTGGCTGAATTTACTGCCTGTCTCTGATGCCCAGTACAGTGTTAGGCATTGAGAAAAAGCCCAGTAACTGCTGTTGGGATGCAAGTTTGAGAGGATCAGCATGGTTCAGTTTTGCTTTCTTCTACCTGGCATGGGTGACTGCTCAAGGATTTTCAATTCTTTCACTGGGCACCTTCTTCCAGATTAGGAATCAGAACAAATTCCTTACTCTTTATATGGTGCTAAGCATCATCAATAGTGATTTCATTAAATTCAGGCCTTCCTTTAGCGTCATAATTATCTTTTTTTTTTTTTTCTCTTTTAGCTCAAGATCAGATGTCAAATAGGAGCATAGACACAGGATACGGAAAAGTAGACGATGCTTTTGCCTTGAGATAGGTTTCATCTCTCAACTGGATGGGTTCTGTGTGAATAAGATCAGTGCTGCCTTTCCTGGTAGTTAACAAGATGTCTGTCCATTTCCAAACATAACAAGGATCTCATGGGAAAAGAGGATATGACTTAATTCAAGTTTTGTTTCAGAGTTCCATTTCTCCTCCAAGTTGATCTTGGCTTTGGCATGGCTCCCATTCATTTTTAAAAACTATGCAATATGTACTACAGCCTTCTAGTGTGTTATATGTCTCCAAATTCCTACAAAGTTCTTACAAGAAATAGGTAAGTTCTTTTTTATTCATATTCTTTCGTGTTTATGATTGCTGGAAACTGAGTGGCTTATATTCAAGAAGGTATCAAAACATATCTCTTTCATTTTCTTATGGCCACATTAGAATTTCCAAGCTGATGATTACATAAGATCCTTGTGTGGCTTGGCATCTGAATACTTTGGGTTTTAGTATATGTTTAGTATTGCATAATTGTTAGCATTTTTTTGTGCAAATGCTATCCAGTCTCTGCAATGTTTTAAGAAGTTGAAGTATTCGTGCACAAATAATACCTTTAATGGGTATGTTTTCATGTTTTAAAGTGCTTGGGCGCTGTGGTGATAAGCACAGGGTGATTCACTAATGGAATGCACTATGGATTTTATCAGCTTCTGTCCAGAAACAGATAGTTAGGTACATTTTCTTTCTTACCCATGAGGCTTGCATTCCAGGCACTGAAGTGCAAATCATTTCCTTCCTGAAGATCTTCAAGTAAGAGGTTTGTTTCATTCCTCATTCTGACGATTGTTTCTTTTAGATCTTCAAATTCATCCACTGTTTTCAGCTGCTCACTTAGTTGCATGATTTGTTTCCTATAGGGGACAATGAGAGTAAATGTAGCAAAGCTTGTATTACATTTGACAGATTGGTGGAAAACACACACACACACACACACACACACACAAAGTTGCTCTCATTATCAAGTATCCTCATACTTCAGATGGATTTCAACTGCAGTAGTCTGACTTCTGAATATATGCTTATGGATATCCTGAGTGCTCTGTCCTTCCCCTACTGACATTTTGGTTTGTAATTTACCCAGCAAACATTTATTATTTAACTAAACCAGCCCTGGAGAAAACAATCATAGAGAAAACAGCTTTGCCCACAGGAGGTCCTCAGTGAGGTAGTGGCAAATGAACTACAAAGACATGGATAGATGGAGATGGGAAAACATCCTTTCTCTGAGGTCGTCAGGAAAGGCTTCAGAGAGGGGGCGGTGTTTGGGTGGTTGTTACAGAGGAACAGAGTTCAACAGGTGGACCACGAAGGGGCTGGCATCCCTTACCATTTCAGACCTGGCACTGGGACTCCTGTTCCTTTTGCTTTCTTCTCTCTGGCTCTGCTCTGGGCTCTTGCAGTGTCTTTGTTTGGACCATCCACTATGGACTGGCTCCTTCCGCTTTCTCAGTTCCATTTTATCTGCTAGGTCTGACAACCACAAACTAGTGGTCCCTGGGACAAGCTCAGTCTCAGACATATTTCTTTGGCCTATACAGTGCTTTTAAAAAGTGCTATTCCTCCTCTGGGGAGGAGGAATATTTTTTATAGAACCATAATCTTCTTGGTTTCTTTGTAGACTGTGTGCTCCTAGATGGGTAGAAACTATACCCAACTCATCCTCATTTGTCCAGATCAGGTCAGCAAACTTTTTCTGTAAAGGGTGAGAAAGTAAATATTTCAGGCCTTGGGGGGGATAGCATCCTTGTCATAACTGCTCAGCTCTGTCACTGCAGAGGTACAGTAGCCACAGAGGATGTAAATGATGGGTATGACTGTGTTCCAATAAAACTTTATTTACGAAACAATGTGATGGGTTGGATGTTGCTTGTGAACTATGTCTTGCTGACTCCTGACCCACAGCAATCAACATCATCTCTAAAACTATTTGATGAATTAAAAAATGATAAAAATGATATTGCATTTTGAAAGAACTATTGTACTCATTATACAACTTCACAGTAATGTATGGGCATGTAAACAACTGAGGAATTTGGGAACATTAATCTAATATCCCTGAGTACATGGTTGAAAAAAAAAATTGTATATTAGAAACCTTCCTACTTCCAATTTTGTGTCCTTCAGCTCTGCTGAGTTTGGGCTTCCCAATTAACCTTGTGGTGGCCTTTTTGTTATAACCAATGACATCTTGAAAAATCACATGCAATCCTAACTAGGTAGGAAAGAGACAGACAGATATGATCCCCAGCCTGGTTACTAACTGAACAATGATCATTCTCCTAATGTTAACAAAGGTACATTTCTAAGCTGAAGGCTGTTAAAGCTCTCAGGAGTTAAGGCAAATCACGAACTTGGAGACCTATTACTTTTGCACAAACCTTACCGAGCAGAGTCATGATAATCCTTGACTTTTGAGAATTCCTCAGATGAGAAAACAGGATGTCTCCAAATCCTTTCTATTTCAGACATGTTTTCTCTGAGGCCTTTGAAGTCGGCCTCACAGACAGGCAGGGTCTCTCTCTTTTATCTTCCATGTTAGCAGCCAGCCTAATTAACCCTTGCACCACTGTGGAGAGGGAAGAAATAGTGTGGTCCCATTGATCAAAGCACCAGTGACACCGAAGACAACAGGGGAATTCCCGGGCATGACCCCGGGCACAGCGATCACATCGAGGGCCGCTAATGCCCTCCTGGCATCGACACGCGCCTGTGCCCTGGTCACAGACAGGCTTCTGGGAACCTTCCCTGTTGCAGTCACATGCTGAAAAAGATGGGAGAAGGAGGAGAGAACGTCAGTCACCTGGCCTTTGGCTCATTACCAGCTCAAGAATAAAGTCCCCTCCACTTCCCTGAAAAACTTCCTAAATCCCATTTCTAAGGTGAACATTTAAAGCAGGATAATTTCAGAGATCTTTGCAATGGCCATTAAAACACAGCATCCCTCTTTTCACTCCAGCCAAGTCAGCTCCTGGGGTTTTCAGGTTTTTGCTTTTGTTTTGGCCACGCCACTTGGCTTGCAGGATTAGCTCTCTGACCAGGGAGCAAAACTCTGCCCCCTGCAGTGCAAGTGTGGAATCCTAACCACTGGACTGCCAGGGAGGTCCCAGGTCTCGGTTCTTACATGGGCATCATTAGACGTCATTCTTACTGCAAGTGTGTGAGTTGTTCACATCTGGGTTCTTCGCCCGTGTGAGTGGAGAGTGTGGATCTAATGACAGACTTGTGCATGGCTGCTACTGTTCCTTCAGGGTGGCTTAGGCATGCCACAGGCTCTCTAAGAATAAGAAGGCCTATGATCACACTTTTTCTTACTGAAACCCAGGCTGGATGTGCTGTCTTCCTTTCATAAGAAAGGCTATTCTGTTCTCAAAAAAGTGTGTGCCTGGAATCTCCCTTTGGTATTTTTACCCAAAGGAATTCAAAACATGTCCACATAAAAACCTACAAATGGATGTTTAGAGCAACGTTATGCATAATTGCCAACTTAGATGTAACCAAGATGTCTAGGTGAATGGATAAAGAAACTGTGATACATCCAGACAATTAAATATTATTCAGCATTATAAAGAAATGAGTGCTAAGCCATAAAAAAGACATGGAGGAACCTTAGGTGCTTACTACTAAATGAAAGAAGTCACTTTGAAAAAGTTACATATTGTAATATGATTCCAGCTATAGGATATTCTGAAAAGGCAAAACTATAGGGTCAGTAAACAGATCAATTGTTGCCAGGGGTTAAGGGGTGTGTAAGGGTGGATAGAAGGCAAAGCACAGAGGATTTTTAGGGCAGTGGAAATACCCTGTATGATACTATGCTGATAGATACATGTCATTAGACATCTGTCTAAATCCAATACCAAGTCAACCCTAATATAAACTGTGAGCTTTGATGATTACAATGTATCAGTATAGGTTCATCAATTGTAACAAATGTACCACTCTTGTAGGGAGGTTGATAATGACTGAGGGCATGCATATGTAGGGTCTGGAAGGACATATGGGAAATCTCTGCCTTCCTCTCAATTTTCCTATGAACCTAAAATTGCTCTTAAAAAAGTCTTTTCAAAAATTGGAGAACATTAAATATACCATCTTAATTAAAAGAAAAACAAACAAAAAAACACCTCGGATGTTAGGTGGAAGTCCAATGGTTAGGACATCCTGGTGGTCCAGTGGTTAGGACTGCATGCTTTCACTGCCGAGGGCTTGGGTTCAGTCACTGGTCTAGGAGCAGATCCATAGCCATGCAGTGTAGCCAAAAAATAAACAAAAACTCTCCCCAAACCTGATACGCTATGCACTTCAGATGAATAGGTTGTTGATTACAGCTAAGGATGGAGGATGAAGAGAGCTACTGAAGTTATTTGAAGCAATTATTATTATTATTGGAGCAATTTCCAAAAGGTCAGGGAATCACTAGCCTATGCCACAGGCTTAACTGCAAGGAACAAGTGATTTAAAAACCCATTTGGCAGCCTGAGTGGGAATAATGCCAATTACAAATAAAAACTGATTACCACACTAGGCTCCTCCAATAGACATCATCTGTCTGGCCCATTCATTTTGGTCCAGAGGCCTCTGCAGGAACCCCGGGGGCACTCTGTGCATTTCACCACCTGGAGGCCAAGGCTCCCCCTTATTATCTGTTCTTCTCCAGGAGCACTAGTGGGGTCTGTAGCCTGAGCTGACCATTTGCAAAGTTTCCTCTATGAAATCATTTTTATAAAATAAGATTATTAAAATATTAGAGGGACACAGGAATATAGGCTCTCTAAGAAAGATTTTCTAAGAGCCAACATTCCTTCCTGGTTTTTAAAGTAGCAATTCCACTTGGAACATTGCATCTTTGAATGTGGCAAAAAACCAAAGGCTTTTTTTTTTTTTTAAACCACAAAAGCACATTTATAAAGGAATGGACAGGAAGAAGAGTTTCCATATGTGGCTACATAGAATAGAAGTGACCGCAATGATAAGTCCATCACATCTGATATTTCTTTAGTTTGACTTCTTTTGGAAGTGGATTTCAAAGAGAGATTAAAAAATCCCTCGTCCTAGAACCAACCAGACTCTACATTTGCGCTGTCCAATATGGTAGCTACTAACCACATATGCTATTTAAATATAAATGGATTAAATGAAACAAACAATTGTTTTTCTCACTTGCACTAGCCACAGTGCAAGTGCTCAATACAACTAGTGGTCCCTGCACTGGATAGTTTGGAGTAAAATGGTTCCATGTTTGCAGAAAGTAGTATGAAACAGCCTTGCCCTGGGAATTCTCTGGCAGTCCAGAGGTTAAGGCTCTACTTTTCCACTGTGGGGACATGGGTTCAATCCCTTGTCCGGGAACTGAGATCCCAGATACTGTGAGGCGCAGCCAAAGAATAAATAAAAAGACAATCTCATTTTTTAAAGATGCCAGGAGCAGTGGCTGTGTATTAAGAATAAATAGATATAAATAGCCCTGCTCTAAATCCTATAATTAGTGCTAATGGAATGAAAGGCACCAGGAACACAAACTCCTCAAGTTTGGAGGCCTTGCCTTCTTTCTTCACTACCCTGAGTACCCAGTAGACACTCTGTGAATACTTTTAAATAAATAAATGAATGAATCTGTGATAGACCCCAAGTTATGAAAGCCATGTTAAGGAAACATCTGCTCTGCTGGCTTCTTATGATCCATTTCCCAGCCTCTACCTTGATCCAAATTAGCTGTTTTTGTCAGCATGCTTCCAGGTAGCAGAAAATTGGCTACAAGTTATGATCTCAAAAATCTGTTCCATATTAACAACTTTGAGGAATTTTAATATAACCTAACATTCAATATGGTGCAAAGTTTTAATATAAGAGAAAAAATTTTAAAGGGCTAAAAATACTTTTTTTTTAAAAAAACTAAGATTAAAGTTTGTGAGTTTTCAAATATAAAGCATGATACCATAAAATTCCTTGACAAGAACTTAGGCAAAACATTCTCTGACATAAATCATACTAATGTTTTCTTAGGTCAGTCTCCCAAGGCAATGGAAATAAAAATGAAAATAAACAAATGGGACCTAATCAAACTTATAAGCTTTTGCACAGCAAAGGAAGCCATAAACAAAATGAAAAGACAATCTGTGGGCTGGGAGAGAATATTTGCAAACGACATGCTCAACAAGGGCTTAATTTCCAAAATATACAAGCAGCTCATACAACTCAATAACAAAACAAAACAAAAAAGCCCCAAACAACCCAATTGGAAAAAGGGCAGAAGACCTAAACAAACATTTTTCTAAAGAAGACATACAGATGGCCAACAGGCACATGAAAAGATGCTCAACACTGCTAATTATTAGAGAAATGCAAATCAAAACGACAATGAGGTGTCACCTTATATTGGTCAGATGACCATCATGAAAATGTCTAGGGCTTCCCTGGTGGCTCAGTGGTAAAGAATCTGCCGGCCACTGCAGGAGACATGGATTCGATCCCTGATCTAGGAAGATCCCACATACCACAGAGCAAATAAGCCACAACTATTGAGCTGTACTCTAGAGCCCAGGAACTGGAACTACCGAGCCAGCGCTGCAACTACTGAAGCCCCCGCACCCTAGAGCCTGTGCTTCACAACGAGAGAAGCTGGAGCACCGCAACTGGAAAGTGCTCCCACTCTGCACAACTAGAGAAAGCCTGAACAGCAAGGAAGGCTCGGCACAGCCAAAAACAATACATAAAATCACATATGAAAAACTATAAACAACAAATGCTGGAGAAGTGTGGAGAAGAGGGAACCCTCCTAAACTGCTGGTGGGAATGTAAATTGGTCCAGCCACTACGGAGAACCATATGGAGGTTACTAAAAAACTAAAAATAGAGTTGTCATATGGTCCAGCAATTCCACTCCTGGGCATATGGCTAGACAAAACTATTATTCAAAAAAGATACAGATAACCCTATATGCAAAACAGAAAAAGAGACTCCGATGTATAGAACAGACTTGTGGACTCTGGGAGAAGGCGAGGGTGGGATGTTTCAAGAGAACAGCATCGAAACACGTATATTATCTAGGGTGAAACAGATCACCAGCCCAGGTTGGGTGCATGAGACAAGTGCTCGGGCCTGGTGCACTGGGAAGACCCAGAGGGATCGGGTGGAGAGGGAGGTGGGAGGGGGGACCGGGATGGGGAATACATGTAAATCCATGGCTAATTCATTTCAATGTATGACAAAAACCACTGCAATGATGTAAAGTAATTAGCCTCCAACTAATAAAAATAAATGAAAAAAAAAAAAAAAGATACATACACCTCTATGATCATAGCAGCACTATTCACAATAGTCAAGACATGGTAAAACCTAAATGTACCTAAATGGATGGATAAAAGAGACATGGTACATACATATAATGGAACACTACAGTCATAAAAAGAATGAAATAATGCCATTTGCAGCAATGTGGATGGACCTAGAGATCATCACACTAAGTGAAG